ATTTGGGCGACCAAAGTCCGTGCGAGAGTGAGCACGTCAATCCTCTTTTGACGTGCCAGTTATGTGCTCGATCAAAGAAAAAAACGGACAGATTTGTGTGCGCAGCGACAGAACGCATGAATCATGAAAAAAAAGGGGGACGGTACCGTATAGCGGCGCTCGCGCGCATAGGTGCACGGGAAATTGAAATCCACCAATTCGTGATTTGTTGGGCATGCCACGCATCTAATTCAGTCGTGCTTTTTCTCCCCCACCGTTGATGCTAATTTGAAAAGGCAACAAAAAAAAAAAACGTCACGTGTTTGACAGTTCGGACCGTTGAATTTGGATGTCGAAAAAATGTATGGAAACTGATGTATCTACAAAAATAGTAAAATAAAATTAAAAAAAAAAAAAACGACGAACCGAGTTTCGTCAACTACCCATCCGTCCGTCTCTTTGTTTTTCCACGGTAGTTTGTTACGGAGGGTTAATAAAGCGCGACATGCACGCAGCGGCGCGTCCAATTGAATTTGTAGGCAAAAATCGCACCGTATTTACCCGAGCCCGTCGATATCGAGTTTGGCATTTATTACCAAAGGCGCGCACGAGCGTTAAAAATCGCAAGGTAAATTAGTCCCAGCATTGGAGGGAATCATTGAAATGGCACTTTGAACCACTTGTACAGTATACGGAGGCGAAGAAAAGGCCGATTTAGTAGATACTTGTGCAGCGTGAGAGGGTGAAAAGAGGCTCGAAACGCGTTCAAATTAAACAGTCCCGCCTCCTCTTGAAGGGGGAGATGTCTCTATTAATTATACGCGCCGATTAATTTCGAAGCGCAATTTTCCGGCGTCGCTGCGCTGTGCAGTGCTGAGAAGGGGAAGAATAGTTGGGGCGATTAACCTCCGTAGATTAGAATTACAATGGGACATCTCGTGCACGGGTGTGGGCATTGCCCAAAGAATTATATACATAAGCGATGAGGCCTCCCGCGAAGATTGGCTAATCTCTGGCACTCCCGTTTCATTCGGCCCCCATTATCTTCCATACGCCCCCTTTTTGTTTCGCTACAATTGCCAACTCGATCACGCGTACATTTGTGTAAAAACCCCATCGCCCAAAATCCTTCCGTATGGTTTTTTCCGCTGATAATATAATCGCCCGGGATAACCACTTACAGAAAGTACTTACATTCATCGGACGCGATGTTTGAGTTTCGATCTTATTGCAATACATATGATAATACATCCGGCAAGTTTGAACGAGTCAACTTTAGAAACAATCATGATGATAACACCTCGCTCTCGCCAGTTATATGCTGGAAACTTCGCATTTCCGGCCGAGTATATAATATAGGTACATCACAATATATATATACATGTATGATGCCGAAGAGCTTCCATCCAACAGTTGATGAACCTGCAAATTGACTAATTGGGTACTTCGTGTACTGTTTAGCAAAGATTTACTACTCTTGCTGCCAAGCAATTTCAATGGTCTATCGTATGACGTATAGTCTATCCTGAAACAGGAAGGTTTGATTAGATATAATCATGTTTTGTTGTACTATAGATTGGACCAGTGGAAGTACACAAAAATAAAGAGATATTATACACCATTACTCGTTGGGCAAAAATTTTTTTCAACTTGTATACACAGTGAATATGCTCGTGAAAAGATATTTCGGGGAGAGTTTTTATCCTGCAAGTGCAGTGTAAGTAATGAATCGCTCGAGATGACGTTCCGTTGCACGTTGTGATGAAAGTTAGCTTGGTATAGATTTTAATTGTTGTGAACAGGAGTGCCATTTCGAGAGCCGCGTGGATGGGTTATTGCCCGGGGACGGAAGAGTGGCGCTGAGTTATTGCTCGTTCGATCGCTGCTGTGCAGAGTTTATCACACTGGAAAACGCAAAAAAGGGTCTCGTTTGCTATTTTGTTGGGAAAATTGTAATGAACCCCTCGGATGCGTTTTTTTTTGTCTGCTGAGGGGTAAGTTTAATAAATGGATACATTTCAAGTGAGCCGTTCGCGTAGACGGACATTATTCTTTTCGAGCACTTTGCGCAACCAAAATTACTCGCAATGAACGTTGTTTAGTGATGCATAAGGTTCACAGGGCACGAAACGGGGAGTAATTTAAACCTTTGTCTTTGCCAGCACAAAGAGCTGCAAGCAGAGAGAGAGAGAGAGAGAGAGCGCTGTAGGTATAGGTGAATTTAAAATTTCGACGAAACTCCTGGTGCAGAGGTTATTCCGCAAACAAGGTGTGAGGATATATATATATATAATGCGTTACTCGCTTCTCTCCGCGTCTGCGTGCGTGCGCCCTCGAAAAGAGAGACGGAGGGCAAGTGATGTACACTTTGGCGAGAATGGGCCTCGAACACGTCGCACCACATACCCGTGCAAGTGCACGTCACTGCCACGAAAATATTATATCTCCGTTCCTCCCCACCCCCCGTAACCTCATGCCACGACCCCCTCAATTTCATTGCGTTCTCACGCACTAATGGCACAAATAATGGCTCAATTGTCCCGCGTCTTCGCCGAAAGTCGTACCACGTAGACCTGTCTATTACTTCGTGTACCTCGTATTTGATGCTTAATTGCCTATTTACTTACACCCGTAGACATAAGTAACAAAACAAATGGGCGTCTTGTCTCCGGCAACTGAATTATAAAGATCCATACGCACGAGTGCTATTCGTTTTCATGGTAAGTACACACCAACGAGCAATTATCCGTATTGTTTCTTTATTCAGAAAACACCCATGGGTAGGCGTCTCGTTTGTTTCCTCATTCGTCGAGGGAAAGCGTTTTGCACTTGTTAACTTTTCCTGCACGTGATGTTACAATATATGTATATATATATATATGTACCTACTCGAGCGGTGCGGGCGGGGGTGGTTGGACGCGACGCGATTTTCAATGTCCCCTCCGCGCGCTCCCCCGGTCCTGTAAATACCTACCCACTCCGGTCAGCGGTCTGCTGCCCTCCTCCTCCTCCTCCTTTCTCCGACAGAAGCCTGCAGTGGCCGCGTCCGGTGTGTGTGTGTGTGTGGAGCCGAGCGAGCGACCACACGGGCTAAAATCAATTTCCGGTCTCGCGTAGATTAGATTGGCACATGACACACAGAGCCACCGCATGCCAGGTAACAAAGTTCCTTGTAGTATGTATAGCTTGCATGCCTTGATGGGTACAACATTATACGGGTATTAGTTGCGCTCTCCGTTGATGCTAATCCAAGCGAGTAGTATATAATATTGTGCCAAGAAAGAAAAAAAACAATGTCACGAGCTGAGGGACACTGAGTTTGGAAAAACAATATTAAGTATTGTCGTCTCTGACTCCTCGCTAACTTAGTGTTGGTAAATATGATATATATAT